CAAAAGTTTATCCGCATACAGAGTAAATAAAATTATATTGTACCAAGCTAAAGGGTTTCTGCTTACACGATCATAGCGGGATGGGAGAGGTTTCAGAGGTAATTACGAATATCTCAAACGCACCGAGCAAGTCTTTTCAAAATCCAGCTACTATATAATATGAATGTCAGAAAATATGAGAGAAAACGTTACAGATATATTTATTAAAAAAGAAAAACATCTATTTTTAATTTATGAACGAGCAAACTCTTTGAGAGTATCTCGTTAATTTGAAAAGTAAGTTGTATAAAAAAACATATTTGAAACGAAAAACAGGACTAATACAGGCTAATACCGGCAGGGCCCACTGTCGCGTTAAGTATGGACTAATTACGAATCGGACAAATCATATTATATTATATATGATTCCATCTACTTTTTAAAGAAAATTAATAGAACAACTGCCCGAAAAATCGCCACAGGCTGCTGCTCCATCGATTTCGTTTCATTGGATGTTTCTATTATGTGGCCATAGGTATTATGTGTCTAGGTATTATCAGCATGGGCGCCATGTTTTGTGGCTTCCTATCGAATCGAATTTTGCTGGCACTTTGATGGCTTTGACAAATATTGTTGCCACTTTACCGGGCATCATTGTGCTGCAATTGGTTGGTTTTATTACCAAAGGAAATGTGGCTGATCATGTTAATTCTAAAATAATGTTTCTTAAATAGCAAACGATGGCGTGTAATCTTTGTTGCCACGATGGTTGCGCACGTAATAGAATTTGTTGTCTATACCCTATTTGGTAAGGGTACATACAGCAGTATGAAATGATGGGTAGTTCAAGACATCGAAGCTTTTAGCTTATGAAAACCATATTTTAATCGTTTGCATGGCTTTAAGACTATTTCAAGCCTCATCTCTTTACTAAAGCAGTTGGGAAATTGTTAAATCAAGTCAGCTTGGCTTGCCGCAGATTGTCGAAAAAGATAGTTTATAATTAAATTATATATAGAAAAATATTTTGTGAAGACGGTATTTTAAAGAATATACAAATTTCAATTGTTTTGGGTAAAATTAAAACGGCAGCTTAAAACTAAAATGTAACGTGCATTTTGAATTTGAATTTAACGGCTGGTTGTGTCAAAAAAAAAAAAGATAACATAAGCATAACAGCAAACTACTGTGGCCTAACAGTAACTAGCTGAGGCGATTAACTAGTTCATTGTGATGCACGAAATTGAACCTGGTTCATTTAATTGAACGAAAATTTTGAGTTCGATTAAAGCAACTGTCGACCATTCATTCAGATGTTATCGATAACATTTGACTTTTGTTCTCGATAATGGCAATCAAATTAAATTAAATTACGTATTTTACACACAAAACCAAGCCAAAAATTTAGATTAACTTTCCACTATGTTAGTTTAAAACCATAGACAAAAAAATAACAAAAAAAAAATCCACAACTATTTAAATTTTGTGGCTTTTGGTGCGGCCACAACTCTGGTGCCTGTCGCTCCAAGTGAAACTGCCGCCGGCTCCGCAAAATGTTGAAAATACGCAACATTTGCATGCTGCAAAGGCGCTGGAAGAGCGGCAAACGGCGCTGGAATGTGCTGCAGCATAAGAAAAACAATTGTGATCGCGCACTGGAAAGTTTTGACGATTTCTACGGCTCCGTGTATGGCGGACGTTGGAAAAATATGCGTGCCGCATTGCTAACAGAGCACAAATATGTTGCCATGGTGAACAATTTCGGTGACACGGAGCAAACATGCAGCATGCTGGAGCTGGACGGTGCCATAAACATCAAGTCCCTTATACAGCTGGCACGTGAACGCGAGGAGACCGGCACGGAGCACAGTCTGCAGCGCCAACAAACGCGTGCTCATTACGAAATCGACGATAAGCTCGGTGCGCTGCTGCGCAAGCAACAGGAACGCGAGGTCGCGGCCATATATCCCAGTGCAGCAGAGGATGGACATGTGCTGCCACAGCAGCTCAACTATGAGAAGAACAACAACAACAACAACGAGCAGGAGGAGCAGACTGGAAGCGGCAGCAAGCAGGCGGAGTTCAAGCAAAGCTTGACCAGAGCTTTGGAGCATGATGTGCAATTGGATTCGAGTCGTTTGGTGGATCCACAATTTGGCACGGGCAGCCTGTACGAATATGTGCCCGCCAGCACCATCAAGGGCATGGAGGATTGGGTGGCCGAATCGGAGCATTACAAATATTATCAAACTAGCACTGATTTTCCGCTGATTATTGAGCCCGAGGCCATATTCCAATATCCGGAACACCTGGCCATCTACACCTATGAGATGGGCAACTGTGCCGAGTTCAAGCCTCCGCGTCAGTGCCTAACCGGTGTCCTCTCACATTTTCTGATGGATGGCGCCTCGGTGCTGCCGCCGCTGTTCCTGCAAGTGCAGCCCGGCGAGCGGGTGCTCGACGCCTGTGCAGCGCCTGGGGGCAAATCTCTGCTAATGCTGCAGACCCTCCACCTGGATCAGCTGGTGTGCAACGATGTGCAGGAGTCGCGGCTAAACAAGCTGCGACGCGTCATGCAGGAGTACCTGTTCGACTACAAACAACGCTGGGCAGGCAAACGTCTGATCTTCAGCCAGAGCGATGCACGCAATCTGGATGAGTATGGCAGCTATGACAAGATTTTGGTGGATGTGCCCTGCACCACGGACAGGCATGTGCTAATGCATCAGGACAACAACATATTCAAGCCGACACGGATTAAGGAACGCCTGCGCATACCCGAACTGCAGGCGGGCATCTTGGCCAATTGCCTGCGCCTGCTCAAACCCGGCGGCAGTCTTGTCTATTCCACGTGCTCGCTGTCGCCGGTGCAAAACGATGGCGTCGTTCACATGGCGCTGCAAAAGGTCTTCACCGAGCACGGCATTACCGCGCGCATCAGGGACCTCAGCCAGCACACAGCACTCTTCAGCGATATCTACAGATTCGAGCAGCCCAAGGGCTTGAAATATGGCCAAATGGTTTTACCCTATTTACCCGCCAATTTCGGACCAATGTATTTCAGTAAAATAACCCGGAACACTTGATGCGTTTGGACAGAGCAGAAAACTTTTTAGGTGATATCAAATTATAAAATGTACATCATTAAAGGAAAAATTGAATATTTGTTATGCGATTACGAGTTTTCTTCTTAACGGAAGCAGATACCCCAAAAGTATAGGAGAAACTTCCCATCAAAACAAAACAGTTATTTGTCAAAAGAGAAAATGATTAATCCATTTAAAGAGAATATCTTTCAAAGCTCAAGGCTCTAGCTCATGAGGTTTCCAAGAGAGACGCGCTCACACAGACGGACATGACCAGATACCTTTGAGAGATCGGGGATGACCCTCAGATACAGACAACAGGACAACGCCGGGTAACAGAAGCTAATAATAATATGCGAATATCTGTATTAATTTGACATTTATGTAAAAAGTTTTGAACCCGAATAGCGTGAAATAATAAAAGAGCTAAATTGTTCGCTCACATTTGTTTCTCAGTCTTCTTTTTCTTCTTGGGCTTAACGGGCAGTGGTCCAGGCATCTTGAAGATGGTGCTGCAAGCATTTAAGGTGAATATTTAAAGATTGTGTCGGACAGCTGTTTAAAGATCCACTTACTGGCATGTGGTGCAGATGGGACTGTATTTACAGAATACGGACAGGCAGACGGAGCAAACGTAGCCGATGTCGATGAGCTCGCGATGACAGAAGCACGAGGCGCGATAGTCAACCTTTGGGGTCGGCGGTAGCACCAATTTGTGACGCATTTGGGGCGATGGCAAGAATACCCATAGCAAATACTGTAGCAGGCCATCCAGCTGGGTTACCTTAAGGAACTGGCCATTGGTTATGTCACAGCCCTGCTGCAGCAGACTGAGTGTCTTGTCCAGGGCGCAGGTATCGATGACAATGCCCAGCTTTTGGGCCGTAAAGAACACGTTCATATAGGTCATATACTGTGAGGCGCACTCATTGCTGCCCGTGAGCACCAAAATGCGTGAGTGCATCTTGACGCCAGCGGCGACATTGCGTTGCAGCTGCAAAAGCACAATTAATTATTCAACAATAAGCAAACGCAGTTAAATTGGGAGTTCTTGCAACATACGCGGGATATGTAGCACAGCGCCATGGACATGCTGCCAGCCAGTAGACTCTCGCAGGATGCGCTCAGGCGTGGCGCATTCATAAGTATGCTGCCCAATTGTTGTTTCACTGTCTTCTCCACCAGGCTGAACGCCTCATATTGGCCATCAATCTGCCGGAGCTCCACTTGCCGCCCAGGCAGCGGGTACAGAAAGTCGCTGGAAAGTCGCAACAATTATTTCACTTACTATCACACCTGCATTAGACTTACGTGGCATGATGCGAACAGGATATTACAGCCAATTTGCTTTGCGCCTTTTGCATGAGATGCGCATTGCCAAAGGCGATGACGGCCTCCAGAATTTGTGTCAGATTTTGTGGATTTTGGCGCACGATCTGCTGTGAGGGATTCGTGTCCAGCACAATAGCCAACAGATCAATACTTGCTTCGGCTAAAAGTGCACAATTTTATTTAAATTTAAATCAAGTTTAACTATAATAAATACCTTCTTTATTTGCTGCTACCTCCGTTGCGTCCATTTTGCCGGCAAAATAAAGCGCTGTGTCAATGCTGCTGCAAGTCTGCAAGGTTGCGCAAGAGTTTGCAATACAGGCTGCTTAAAATTTATGACGTCACACACTCTCAGAGCGCTGAGAGCTGCGGCTAAGAAATGTTTAACTGCACTAATTAACATCAACATGTTATCCATTATTTTTATAATATGATATTATAAAGATGCGTTTATATTAAGAATGCGATGCGATGTTAGTTAAATGTGACGTCATTTGGTAGTATTTTTGTGTTTTCACAGATCGTTACCTCATGCATTATGCGCTTCGCTCGCGCCAGGGCTGCCACTGCTTCGAATTTAATTTTGCCATTCAACTGAAAACGCGTGCACTAAAAACAGCTGTTCTTGTCAGCTCTGAAATTTTACTGGGCGTTTCACCAGCTTTTGTTGATAAAAAACGCATTAAATACGTATCACATTCGGGCTTAAAAACAGGAAACATAATATAGCTATAAATATGCTCGTACTAGTACTTGGCGACTTGCATATACCACACCGTTGCAGTAGTCTGCCGGCAAAGTTCAAAAAGCTGCTTGTGCCCGGTCGGATACATCATATATTGGCCACCGGAAACATCTGCACCAAGGAATCGTATGATTATCTCAAATCGCTGGCCAACGATGTGCACATAGTGCGCGGCGATTTCGATGAGAATCTCAGCTATCCGGAGCAAAAGGTTGTGACAGTGGGACAATTTCGTATTGGCCTGTGCCATGGTCACCAAGTGGTGCCGCGTGGTGATCCGGAGGCTTTGGCACTAATCCAACGCCAGCTGGATGTGGATATACTCATAACGGGGCATACGTACAAGTTTGAGGCGTACGAGCATGGCAATAAATTCTACATAAATCCCGGCTCGGCGACGGGCGCCTTCAATCCTCTGGACACAAATGTGGTGCCCTCATTCGTGCTAATGGACATACAAAGCACAACGGTGGTCACCTATGTGTACCAACTGATTGGCGACGAGGTCAAGGTGGAGCGCATTGAGTACAAGAAGATATAACCAAGTATTAGCAGCAAATTCATTCCTCCTCACGCTTGTGCACGCACTGATCCGATCTGTCTTGATCTTGGCTTAATTACGGAAAATTGAATATATATATATATAAATAATGTATAAATTAAACACGTTTCCTTTTTTTTATTTAATAAAAAAATGTTTAAATTTTATTTAAATAGAATATAAAAGAGTACTTGCTTTTATTCTGATCATCTCCGGATGCGCTTACATGCATATGCGTGCAAAAGTTTTTTAATTGAATGAAAAGTCTGCTTAAAATGTTGACAAAGTTTCGTGCATTATTTTCATTGATTTTTAAATATATTAATACAAATTGGATTCTCGTTCGGGTCACGTTGCATTGCTTCTTGCATTATAAAATAAATATATATGTATATATGTTTTGCTCTTGTTTTTTTTTTTGTTTTGATTTTTGTTTTTGTTTTTCTGCAAAAATGTTGTGAATACTTTTTGCCCCAAGCGCTCGCAGCAGAAATTTGGCAACCATTTTTCTAAATTCTCGTACATTACAAAAATGATAAATACACATAAACACGAAAACTCTGCGCTTAAAATTAGATTATTTTAGCTTTGCTGCAACCAGTTCAATTAGCTGAATGCGGTCTGCCTTTGGGGTGGATATATTTGTTTTTGTTTTGTTTCTTTTTCTTTCGAAAGCAATCAACGACGCCCTTGGGATTCCCGATTTGACGCCGGCATTAACCCAGGCTGTCCAAGCACACAGTCTTGAGGGTTTTGCCATTGATGAAGGTCTTGTATTGCTCCGGCAAAGCCAGTTCGACCTGCAAAATTAGTTATAAGCAAAGCTAATTCCAAATATGATCCGCATTTCCGCCACTTACATAGTCACCATTCTCCTCTGGCAGAAGTACATTCATCTCCGAGGACTTGGAGCTTATGATTTCCACACCCAGCGAATCCTTGGACAAATACATTTGACAGCCCTCGCTCTTGTCAATGGAAATAGTTGGCACCGAGCCCAACACCTGCATCTGAATGTTCTGGCAGTTGACAAACTCAATGGAGGACAAAACCGAATCGAACAGCAGCGAGCATTTTTTACACGAGTCCATCACAATGTTGTTCACCTTGCCCCGGACGGTGAGAGTGGAGCCCTCGCAGCGGTACATATACACCACATTGCTCAGTTCGGCATTCTCCACACGCAAGCCCGTATTGTTCTTCTGATACTCGATTAGCCACTTTTTGCCATCTAGCGTAAAGACGGGCTCCTTGGCGGGCGCATTGGCACGACCAGCTGTGCTTCCGCTGCTGCTGCTGGCTGGCGTCTTGAAGGGCGCGGGGCCAGTGCGCAACGATGGATTCTTGTGCGTTTGCATGTCGCCGGTTACCTTCTTCAGATCTGTAAGCATAAAGTGGTTAATTATGGCTTTTCAAGGTATCAACAATTGTTGCGCCTACTCTTGGTAATGTCGGCGCCCTGATTGATTTGCGCAAAGAGCGCGCTGCGATCATCGGCAGCGCTGTCCAGCTTCAGAGCACTCAGATCCAGTACCGGTGGTGGTGGTGGCAGACCGCCAGGTGGTGGCGGTGGTGGAGCTTTACCGGCTGGTGCTGCGCCCTTGCCCGACCAGACCAGGCCCGTGGTATGATACTGCTTGATGTAGGCCTGTAGTTCGGTCAGCGTTTGGATCCAGGCGCGTGCCCATTCCACGTGCTTGGCATCCTTCTCCTTCCACTCCTTGAGCACACGATTCGTATAGAACTGGCCCGCATCGTTCATCTCCTTGACGTGCGGTCCGGGTGTCGGCGATACACACACCCAGCCCAGGGCGGGTATACTTTCGCTAATGGCCGACAAATGATTGAAGAAAGCGGAGGAGCGATGCTTCTCACGGAAATCCTGAATGGCGCTAATTTGCGTCGATGTTGGCTGCAACAGTTCCATTTGCTTGGCCTGCGCCGGCTGAGCGATCTGCGTGGCCAGCGTCACGTAACGCAATTGGGCGCTACAAAATGGAGGGCAATGAGAGACGTGAATAAAGGCAAGTGAGAAATGCAGCAGTTTGTGCTTACTCAAAGGCTGCCTTGACGAACTGGGCATGCTGGGCCACATCGCCGCCAATTTTGGCCGATAGCGCCAGATACTGGCTCAGCGGCCCGGCCATAATATCCTCAAAGCCGGCGACACTCATGCTATTGCTGCTGCTGGGCGCTGCTTCTGCAGTTGCAACTGTTGCTGCTTGGCTTGGCAAAGTTGGTGCGGGTGGTGCGGGTGTTGCTGGCTCTGGCTCAGACTTTGTGTTTAGCTCTGCTGGCTGCGGCGCTATTAGCGTATGCTCCAGGCGATCGACTAGCGTTTCCAGACGTTCACAAATCCTTTCCAAATGCTCAACGGCAGCCGTGGGCTTTGATTCCGACTCGTTGTTATCTGTGAAGGCGGCAAGAGATCAATCTTAGTTTACATCTTATTCAAAAGAAATTTGTGCTTTTGCTTCGGTTCAAAAAATGTGCGTAAAAAACTTAAGCGTAAAACAATGTATATATATATATATATATATATACAGCACATTTAATAGAGATATGCAATAAAAAGATCTACACAAAAAAAAGAAAACAAAACAAAACAAATTGTTGTAATTGATGTCATCGCAGGGATTGCAAAACAAATCTGCATGAATCACTGGAAACGACTTGAAAGATTGCAAAACGACACAAAAAAAAAAGCTGAATGGCCAGTTCATGATGATGTTGTTGATGATGATGATGGAAAGAAATCGGCGTGACTTAAACATTAAACAATATATTCAATTTGTGCATGTTTTATATACAACAATATAAATGTGAAATAAAATATATAAATATATTTCTCATATAAATAAGGAAACGCCAGCTTAAATTTGAATACAATTTCATGTGTAGCTATAATATATGTTCAATACACCTCACAAAGCTTTTATTTAAATACAAAAAAACGATTGTGTGTATTTTATCATAGGAAAGGGATTTGAATAGATAAACTAGCATTAGAATAATTGATTGAGTGAATTTCTGGGAAATTGCTAGTGAAAGGCTTTCGAAATATATTTTTTATTTAATAAGCGAAGGTAGAGAAGTTTTTTTTGAAATACTTCTTAAATAAGTGCTACATACAAGAAAAAATGTTAAAAATTATTCTAGAAAAATTCGTATTAAATTCAGATTGAATTTCCTAGAAATTCTTAGGGCAAGTCTTACTTCATTTAATTTCATAGGGGCTCTCTTTTGGAATTGAGAAAAAATTGCGTGTAGAACTTAAGAACATTTTGTAAGATTCGAAGTGACGACATAGAACATATATAAATATTTATACGAATTAGATGGATGATGGTTCTTCAAAACAAATTCGAATTATTCGAATCGATAGGTAAAAGAAAAACTTGTTGGGACACGGCATGCAAGGCAAACGAGCGTAGACGCTGGAGATGAAAAAATCCGTTTGGATTTTGTGTTGATTCATACCACGCACGGCCACGCTGTGCTCGACGGCGGCGTGCGCGGCGCGCAGCAGCTCCGTGTAGAGACGCTGACGTTTCAGTTCCAGCTCATCGCGTCCCACGGGCGTGACGGGTGGCTCGATGCAGCCGCTGCATGCGTACAACAAACAAACAATGACAACAACAATAGAGAGAAAGAGTTTTTAACTGGTTGGGAATTTTTGTCGTTTAACGATAGAGAACGCGTACATCTCATTGAGTCGCTCGTCGTCAAACCAGGCGGGCAGTCCGTGGGCAAGGGCCAGCGTTCCGGCCGGCAGCTGTTCACCCTCAATGTACGGCGCGCACATGCTCTCACGCTTGGGCGGCGGCAGCGAGTCCGAGAAGACCTCATCGTCATCCGCCAGCGAATTGTTGTTGTTATTGTGATTGGCCAGCAGCAGCAGCAGCGAGTTGGTCAATGGCTCCGGCTCAATGATCTCGGCCCGTGTACTAATATTGACCTTCTTCTTGATCGAATGATGCGTCGAATTGTGCCGCGAGAGGCAGCTTCTTGTGGGCGGCGCATGGGCTGCCGGCGGCGCCTCCTGCAGCTGCTGCTGCGGTGCCGGCTCATCCTCCGTTGCGCTGGTCATCGATGCGGGCGGTGCTGTCGATGTGGATGAGTGCGTCGAGCGTAGCGTTGGCGAGGCGGCTGCTGCGTCGTTGGCTTCTATGTCAAGGGCTGTGAAGATGCGACACAAAGCAGCGCACATATATATTTGGTCAGGGAACTGAATCGAGTTCGGATTTAATAATGTTTCATTTCTCAAAAAGACCCTACAGCGGATTGAGAACCTTTGAGCCTCTCGCTGTCTAGCTTGTAAACTTATCTGTCATCTAATACAAGAATATTTAAGTTCTATATTAAATCTGGAAGAGCTTAGCAAGAATATTTTCTAATAAATCAAATATCAAAATAACTTTGACCTAGCAATGCTTGCGTGAGATGCCGATTCCTTTTGCTTGAATTGAAAAAGTATTTAAGCCAAATATGAAGCTTGTCAAGATTATAAAAGAACTATATGTTCTTATTCTGCAAGTTCTACAAGAAACTAGATTACAAAATTATCATAAACTTAGATGCTGATGCGAATTTCAAAGGGTATATTCGTCTATAAGCCCCCATATACAAATAGAAAACGTGCCTGAAAGCAATTCGGTGAATTTAGCTGAAGGTTAAACTAGGTCGTGCTCTGTGGCTACTGAGGCGAAATAATAAAAGTGTTAAAGGCGGCGCAGATCCTGGGCAATTGGCAAACGCTGTTGCACGGCTTTTTTGGCAGCCAAACTCCAGGGACCTGTGCCCAAGTGCAAAACACACACGCACACACACACACACACACATTAGTGGAGCGTGTGGTAGAGCTGCCGGGAGGGGCAGAGGAGTTGTGTATATTAAGTACTAAGTGATAGATGTTAATTCATTTTTGTGAATACCAATTGATTGCTCAACATTAACAGCCTCTGCTGGCTCCGGTTCGGTTTGGGGTTCGGTTTTGGATGCTGGTTGCGGTTCTGGTTCCAGTTCCGGTTCAGGCTCTGGCGCTGCGACATTGCCATTCGGTTTGAGTTCCTCCTGAGTCACTGGACTGGGGTGCGGTTCGTTTGGTTTAGTATCCGTTTTACTCTGTTTGTCCTTGTCCTTATCCTTTTTGGCCGCTTTTGGATTTGCACGACAACATGAGAACATTTTTGCGGCTCGCGTTTGGCTGCTTCTTGGTGTACTTAAAGTAGTAGGATGAACGATTTTAAGATGGGTATCACATTAGGGTTATGCAATTTCCGTGTCTTTTCTTTTAGCTCATTCTCGTTTACGACAGCAACAACAAGGAAAACAACGCCAAGCAGCCATACAAGAATCGGTTAGGCGTATGACGAAAGCCGCAAAAGGCAAAGAAAGTTGCTGTAAAAAAAAACTACTCCTTAAGCTTCCTCTCCCTATATCATATAACGTAAATTGTTTCACACGCACTTGAACGCAATTTATTTCCTGTTTCTTATTAGTTTTTGTTTTCTTTTTTGCGTTTTTTGCTTTTGACATTAATAAATTAGCAAATTAAAGCACTTTTCAATGTTTAATGCAAACGGCCTGGGCAGGGCGCTATAGGCCACGGCTAGCACTCAACTGGGTCACACGCACACACACACACACACACACACACGCATGCACAAAGCTCCACAGCTGCTGTTGAACGGAACACACCCTAAAAAAAGGGCAGCACACGCGCACGCACAGGACTCGGAATCAGTGAACGGCAGCGCTATGTTTAACAGCGCAATGTTAATGTTAGCTGGTCATGTTAACAGCCGTATAAGCTTGGCTTGTGAAAAGGGCCACGCACAGAACGCGAACCAGTGGGCGGAGACAGCGGAACACTTGTTTAACAGCACAACATTTATCTTAAGGTCATGTTAAGCAGCCTAATACAACTTTCTAGCCTATTTCAACAGCCGCTTGTCAACACTCCTTGTCCAAATTTGGGCGTGCAACTGAATGTGCATTGAAAACAAGTTGAAATTTTAGATAAAAAATTTTGCTTTGGGTACACAGGGTCAACAGCTGAAATGAAGCTGCTGTGGAGAAAGCTTCACGGTGGTCATGGCAACAACAAAAATAGAGTTTGCGCGTCAATAGAGAGAAAGAAACGAGAGAGAGAGAGCGAGAGAGAAAGAGAGCGCGCAAAAGCTGTGCAGACATTTGTTTTTGTAGCAACAATGAGTTTATTGCACCGGCCAAACGAGCGACTTGTTGTTATTGTTAAATGCATTAACTTACAAATAAATCTTGGCAATTAGTGTTAGAATCCGTTTGGTTGTGCTAACAACTTTCGCTCCGCTGCAAAGACGAGTTGCTGTAGGATGTGAATGTGTTGTGTCTGTTGTTCTTTTGCGGGCAAATGCATTCAAAACGTACACACGCACACACACACACACACACACACGCAGCAGATTAAATGTCTGTGGCAGTTGAACCGTTATGCGCGCCGTTGATGCGCGTCTCATATAACAATTAATTAGAAATTAAACCGGCTGCGTGTCTATGGCCAAAGTAAAACAGCCATCAGCAAGAGAAATATACATATATATATATATATATATATGTGTGTAATCTATGTATGAGTGTTTATTCTTAATAATTTTTTTTTCTGCTGATAGTGTTTTTTGGCCATCTTTGATTTCACACACGAATACATACACACGCACACACACACATGCATTTGTTCAGTCTTGCGTAAACTGGGTGTGAGTCAGAGCAACAACAATAACAGTAAGGCGGCAAACAGCTGAGGAGTTCTAAAAAAAAAAAAAACTATGCACTGTTAACTCTACTTTTTATGGACTCTAAATGCTGCACATTTGCTTTTGCGCATTAGCAGTAGTGCATATACGGTTTTGTATGTACATAAATATGCAAGTAAAATTAAATTCTACATGAAATCATCATTAAAAATATACCAAAACACTCACACACACACACACACAACTGTACGTTACACATGTATGGGGCGTGTGTATTTAATTTAACAAACAAAAAATGATTCACATAAAAATAGCCTCAAAGAGCCTCCAAATAGCCCGCTAGCCGGAGAACACTGGCAACACAGCTGTCACCTGTCCTCAAACACTTCACGCCCACACTCACACACACACACACATGCATATACATATACATATATATATATGTATATGCATATGTACGTGCCATTTTAATATTCCAGACAGCCTGGCCGCAGGAACTGTAGACCCACCCAACTTACAATGCAGCCGGCACTTTTACGCTGGTTTTGTCACTTCACAATTTCAGCAATTAAATGTATTTTACGCACATTTTTTATATTAAGAAAAGCACATCGATAGATAGAGAAACACACACAGCCACATATTATAGTTCTTTTAATTGCACTTACCACAAATTTGTAATAGTAGCGACGAATTTGTTAATTACCAATTTACCGCTGCTTCAGAACAGTTGTGTGCGAAAAATCGACGACGAGTGACTAATTTTTCGCTCGTTCGTTTGTCTAACATATGTTTTTAACAGCAACACATTTAACATTTTGCTGTTATGTTATTAGCAGCAAAGTGAAGTGTTGATAAAACTACAGCTGTTATTTTGTATCGGACAAAATTTGATTATGTGAAGTGAAATTGTGTAAAATAAAATTGGCGGTTTCATGGACCTAGTTTTGAAAAGTTGGCTAATGTAACTCATTGCCAAGATAAGGCTGTCTTTGAAGATTAATAAGATATATAACATGGTTATAACAGAACACCAATTGGAAGTGACGATAACACATAAATGTTTTTGAACACTGACCGTACTATAATTTATTGTGATCGTAGTGTTATCGATAAGGCTAAAACATATTTTTGGCGTTTTTACACACTTTTTAAATCTAAAAGAAAGTCTGTCGATTTGAATACTCTATTTATTGTATGCTTAATGGTAGTAACATTTGAGTGAATTGTCACAAATATGAAAAGAATTTCAACCATGCAGATAATCCATGAGGAAGGGCGTATCATCAGGCCCATACGGGGTTAAAGGAACATCATAGGGCAAGGGAAAGGCAGGCACACCATCTCGCGCATTGCCCAGAGGAAAAGTCTCCTCGCCAGTCTGCAAGAAAGTAATGGAGTTATTTAATTTAACGCAGGAATATCAAATATTTAACAAAAACAACAAACCACAAATCTAGGCAGAAAGAGAACGCCCGCCTCGTAGTTGGCAATGCGCAGACATGGCTGTATTTGGGAATTTTTGTTAAAGGAGCCCCAGGCAGCCTTCGATAGATTCGCCGAGGTCAGCACAAACCAGTAGACACACTGCTGCTCCAAATTAAAACGCGTATAGCTTTTGATATGCGGCATAGCCTGCGAGCGATGCCGATCCCCGGACTTCCATTGCTGCAGATGCGCCTTGAGCCAGGGCTGTTTATCATTCGTGTTCTTGCTATAGGGCAGGCAACCACCACCGAGCATGCCGTCGTGACTGCGTGAGACGTTGCCAAAACTGGGATAGATCATCTTGAAGGGCGGCAGCTGACGCAGCCTGCCCACAGGCGTTGAATCCTTGCGTAAATTGTTGACGAAATCCTGCTGTATCCAGGCCTGCACATTGGCACCCAGACTGCCAATACTGGAGCTTTGACAGACAACCGGTATCCGATCATCCACGGGCGCCGCATGCTTTGCCAGCAGCGAACCCAGACGGGCACAGCCCCATGGATGACCACGCACGGCGCTCTCACGGTGACCACCTGGCACAGAGCCAATAAGGAAGACGCTGTGGAAAGCAGACGGCTCATATAGTATATTGATTGTCTCCATGATTTGTACTCACTTTACGGCACTGAAATCACTTTTGCGTATGCGCGCAATCCACGGCTGCAGCTGCGACACCTTGTACTCGACCAGGTAGAGCATGAGGTCCTGCTTGAATCCCGTTGGACTTTCACCGGCAGCCGTGTCAGCGCCCTCGGGCAGTGCGGGCAACCGTGGACTTATCCACAAGCCCTGCGTGCGATTGTGCCAATCGTCCTCGTATAAATTCGCCGTAGAGATGACAACACGCATCGAGCCATCCGCATAGCCAAGCAGCATCATTTTCGTGTGCGATGTGGCAAAAGGTGTCGGCATATTGACCTTAATGGCCGTCACCTGCGGCTTGAATTTGCCAATGCCCAGCAGATCGGGAGACTCATCGCCATACAGCACCAGCAGGGGTTTGTCGCTGCGAAAGAAGTGAAGGCATGTACAAAATTAACTTGCAGTCATGAAAAACGGCTTTGTGCCAGATTGTTTAGTTAAAGATTGCCACAATACCAGCCACGGCTTACAGTATGCCCGCAAAGTAATAATGTCCCAGCAGCCAGCCGATGTCTATCATAAAGTTTATTTGAACGCTGGACTCAATCTTGCCCAGGCTTTCGTCGAGTATTTCCTGCAGCGTAACGCTCAGCGGCTCCAGATGCGTCGGCTTCGAGTCGGTGATGGCCGTAAGGAACATATTATAGGGCGCTGCACGCTCCAGCTTCGCGGCCATGCGCCCCTTCTCTACCACAACGGGAATGTAGTCGCGTATGTTGCGCTCGTTAAGCCTTTGTTTCTTGGCCAGATTCGAGCTGTCCTTGCTGCTCGCCTGGTCAGAGGCAGACCCACGACTGGTGCTGGGTGTCATGGGTGTAGCTGCTGGCGGCTCCTTTTTTGCTGGCTTTGCAGTCGCAGCCGGCGCCGGCTTGGGAGCAGAAGGCGCTGCCTTGGATGCAGCTGCCGGCTTGGGTTTGGCATCCCTTGTGCCCAGCTGCGGGAATACTTTCTCCAAAAGCTTGAGCTGTATGTTGATTAGCTCGCTGGAATACTTGCCGGGTATGTCATACTCATTGCTGTTCGCCTTGAAGCCCTTGGCATAAATGGCATCCACTAATTGAAACACAAATATTTATAATGAAACATAACAAATGTGATTCTTCTTTATTTTAACGTACAATGCGCATGTGAATACTCGCCGAAGTGTATGGGATTTTTGCGGTAACATTTCTCGCCGTAGGGACACTCTTGCATGTTGCCTAACTAATTGATTTGGTTTAACAAAAACTAACAAACAAAAGCGGGAGCTGATGTTGCGCCTGCTGACGATAGCTATCGCAGCTATCGCAGTTATCGAAATTATCGATTAATGCAATGCGCAAATAAAAAGGCGCCATATTAAAAAAATTCAAAAAGCCACAAACGACAATTAATTGCGTTTGCTGTAATTGCATAGAGAATAAAGATTCTAAATAGCTTTTTTAAACAATTTAGCCATGACTCATAATTGTACTTTTTCTAAAATCTAATTACTTACAAATATCAACCGCACCTATATATAATAATGATTATTTGAATAAGCCTCAACATGTTCATAAATTTTATTATTCATGAAAGTTATTTACGATCTTTGGCCACTACAGTTGCAGACATAAGTCCATTGCAACTTAAGCTAGACGGTCGCATTCTACGGTAGAAATCCAAAGATGGCAGATCGCAGCAGGAATTGCTTTGACGCTGGAAACGGAGTGAGCCCAGAGTACAATATGTCTCATAGATATCGTGGCAGAGCAGTCATCTTTAATAACAAGAACTTTGAACATCCACACCTGAAGACACGCCAAGGCACGGATGTGGACAGCGCATTTCTTGGAAGAGTTCTTGGGCAATTGGGCTTTAAAGTAAAGGAATACACGGACCTTTGCAGCCATGCGATTATGAAAAAAATTAACAAAGTCAGTGGTCGGGATCACTCCGATTGTGATTGTATTTTAATAGCCATCCTCTCACATGGTAAATTGGGCTACATATATGCCAAGGACAAGGATTATCCACTGGAGAGCATTTTGAATCCATTTACTGCTGAGCGATGCCCCACATTGGCGGGCAAACCGAAACTGTTCTTTATTCAGGCCTGTCAGGGCGATCTCATGGATCCCGGCTACCACATCCAGCGACCCGAAAGCTCTGGACATGACAACGAAACTTTTATGAGCTATAGAATACCACTTCCTGCCGACTTTCTGATAGCCTCTGCCACGATTCCTGGTTACTGCTCCTGGCGTAATACTGTCGACGGCAGCTGGTTTATACAGAGCCTGTGCAAAGAACTTGGCTCCTTTGGTAAGACACGGGATCTATTGACACAACTGACATTCGTTGCCCAGCGTATTGCCGTCAACTATGAGAGTTTTCATTCGTTTGACTCGATGCAGCACCAGAGAAAACAAATTAGCTGCACAATGTCCACGTTAACCCGCATATTGTTTTTTCGCGATAAAAGCAATCCATCAAACGACTGACGACAACGACCACTCCCACAGAAGGTTTCTGTTGTTTAAAAAATAAAATGGTAAAAGATTTAATTTATAAAATTTCAATAAAATGTGAGGAAATAAAGAAATATTAATATTACGACAGTGAACTATTTAATTTAATAAACAAAACTGTATATTATATAAAATACATATATATTATACATAATATAAATAGTATATATATTGTTAAAAATTAAATAATTACTGCTGCGATTTAAGATTTGAAAATTATCGCTAGACTTGTCACATCTCTAGCGATAAGTGCTAGCTGCTGGTGCTGCCAGATTTCGATAATGATAGTTATATAGTGTCGATAGCTATCGATACACACAACAACAAAAACAGCAGAAGAAGCACGTGTACATTTAATTCGTTAGATTGTTTATATTTAATTGTGCATAAAAATGTATGTAATTTGTTAAAACATTTGAGTAATCAATTTGGCATGACCAGTTGGCAGCGCAACAGTGTTGCAAAATGCATGTATTGTAGGCAATTCGTGTTGTACACACTTCGTGTCGGTCGTTCGTCGTTGTCGTCGTCGTCGTCGTGTGTGCAGTTCATGATAAACAATTTAAAATAAATAACAAAAATTCACATACTTATGGTGCATTAGAGTAAACAAACTGGCCACAAAAGCGGACCACAAGTGTTGAATTGTACGCGTGAGTAGCTTTCAAACAGTTTTATGTGCATTTCCATTGCAAAAATAAGCACAGTAGCAGTGCAATTACGTTTGGCTGAAAGAAAAATTTTTTCTTCTCATACTACGCTACTTCTTATTCGCTGCGCGCTGCTGCCGAAAGAGTCTTGCCTGGCGTCGTTGTTGTTGTTGTTGTTTTTGTATATGCTGCTGCTGCTGCTGCTGTTACTCTTGCTCTGCAGGGATTACGATTACAGTTTTATTCTCAGCCTCTCGCCAGTTTTATGCTGCAATATGTGTGTGTGTGTGCGTGTGTATGCGTTCGTGTGTGTATATATATGTGCCTGTGTGTTTTTGTGCTGCGCGCGCCATTAATTGAACCAAAAAAAAAAAAAAAGGAAAGAAAAATTGAAAACAATTATAAATACACACAATAAAATCAAATTTTTATTATGTTTTGAAAATACTTGAATGTCGCTTATCTTCGCACACAAATTTCTGACATTTCTTCTGCTCGTGCTTTGAACAAAAATCCACTTGAATGCTGCTGCTGCTGCTGCCGCTGCTGCCTGGCAAGCACAGGTGCGGTTTACCCAATGAGGGGGGTAGTGCATTTTGAGCGCGAGCTGTATTTTGATATTGTTATTGATAATATTTTAAATTAGTCACAATTAAAAACAAATATAGCGTTTGTTGTACCTTTGATGATTAATGGAATTAAAACGAACCTTCGACCGCTTATTACCTTTTATGAGTCAGAGAGCTGGATACGCTCTTTCTATCGCTCTTTCTCTCTCTTTCTGTCAGACGGCTTGCTCTGCTCAAACAAACTGTTATCACGTTAACACAACTAGAAAACGCTGCTTGTTATCAATTTCATCACACACCTTCTTCCACTTTAATTTGTTTTGCTTTTTACTATTTTCTATGTATATTTCCCCATACACAGTTGCATTCACACTGCGTGCGCATGTGTGCGCGTATGTGTGTGTGTGTACGCTTATCTACGCCGCGCTGCTTTTGTTGCGCTTCTTTTGTTGCTCTTGTTGTTGATATCAGCAGCGCGCGCGCAAACCTTTCAGTTGGCGTCAGAGGGGCAGCAGCAGCGATTTTGTGGGGCGGCACACGCACGTATTGAGAATTGCCTTCGTTACGCCGTTAGACGCCGCCTCTGTCGCTGCCAGCGTCAGCTTTGGCGTCGCTGCTTTCCTTTGTCGAAGGTAACTGAAGCGCAACCCAAGACGTGCACTCAATTCTACACACACATACACACACACAAACACACGCACACTTTGACTTGTGGGTGTACTGATTTTTGCAGTGGTTTCTGCGTATTTTGCGGTTCGCTGTGTGCTCTCAGCTTTGGGCGATATGGCAACTACTTACATCTTTATTGTTGTTGTTGTTGTTCTTGCTATGCTCATAGCTCGCAGGTAGAGATGGGCGCGTGTTGACACGACTCGACACGAACACGAACATGCAATTCTTAATGTGAGCGATTTTTCAATATTTGCGAAAAAAAAGCTTTAAATTGAATTTTGTTTCATTTCTAAATTGTGGTCATGCAATTAAAACATTTGAGATTAAAATTAATTCGTCATTTCTAAAATGTTTCTATGTCCTTATACTGTATTTTTTAACACATTCACTTCGTGTTAAGTCGTGCATAGATAGCTCGAGACGTGCCCAAGTGAGCATAGCGAGAATATGGGCAAATATGTGGCTCCTGTAAGTCGAAACTTGCCGCATCATCGTAATGCAAAATGCTTTAAAGCTGCCTCAAATGCCAGACTAGACGATTCACCCAGCTGATAACATTTCAATTTAGACACCATTGGAAATTCAGTGGGCTGATTACTGAACGTGACGTTATACTATGTACGTTTCCATAGCAATATATGCCATAGAAGGCTCTACTACTTTAAAGCATTGTCACGATAGTTGCCTAAAAAAAAAGGCTGAACAAAAAGATCTTTGCGTTTGCCAAAGACAACACTTAGTTTTGGGGCGCAAAAAATGCTTCAATGCTCTACCAAGAGGAAAATGGTGTTTTTCCGTGATTTTGTTGAAACTAACTGTTAATGGCCAAAAGCTTGACATTTTACAACACTTATTATCAACCAACTTAACATTCCTACAATTATTCAGGATTCGATAGTTTTCTACTTCCATAACCTTTTTGTCATTCGTTCGATGTCTTTGATAAACTAAAAATACCCTAAACTTGGCTATAACTAGGGTATGCCCAGCATCGTGCTTAGGTCTCTTTGGCACGATAAACATCTCATGTAGCCAAGCACTTAATAAAGTTGTTTGCCAGTCTATAACATAATAATCATAGTAATAATAATAAAAAAAAAAAAAGACAAAATCCGATTGCGACAGGGTCTAAAAATAAGTTCAAATGCGTGTTGACAATTTTTTGTCGTCTTTTATTATTTTTTTTTTTCTGCCCGCCTTTTCAGCATTTGTTTTGTTTTCAATTTTTTTTTATTACCATTGCGCGGATTATCGCGACAAGAAGATCAAGAGCAGCGCAAATAGCAACAATAACAAAAAATATTTAAATATTTTTATATGGGGAACTAGAGGGACGCCCACTTGCAAAAAGAAAAAAACAATATCTAAGCTGAAAATAAACTGAAAAAGCGTAAATCACGCTTTCGATAGATTTAAAAATAGTTGTGCACCGATAAGAGCCACGCCCCCCAAAAGCCATGGGATTGGGACGACTGTGCAACCCAGGGCTAAAGCAAGACATGCAAATTGTTAGCTGGATTTGTTGTGGGGCATGTTGCACAAACTGTGCATAAATCCAATTAATAACATAATTATTTAGGCGCAAAGAGCCCAGAGAGAGCCAAAAGCCATTTGAAGCTCATTTACAAAATGCCGCCTAAAAGTCGTTAGGTTTGCAACTTGCAACTAGCAGCCTGCAACGGGCAACGGGCAACTTGCAACGTGCAACAACCTGATGCGTAGGCCGTTGTGTGTGCCGCCTTACAGCTGGTTAGCTGGTTTATAATCACATGCCACATGCAGCATGCAACAACAAGCACTTCATATGCAAATTATTTTTTATTTTAATTTGCCCATTTTTGTTGTGATTTTTTTTTTTTGGCCCCCTCCGAAATTGAAATATTGACTTTGCGCACTTAATTTTCGCCAGCCTGGCAAATTGTGAATTGCCCAATCAAGCCAAGAGCGAATGTGTGTGCGTCTTACTTCATATATATAAACAATATGCAACATAAATTAGAATAACCGTTGAGCCGTAAAAACAAAAAGGAACGTTGAGCATATGTAGGCTTTCAGAGTCGACGAGTAGTTGGCGGCGTGGGCGTGGATGATTTGAGGTACTCGCGGCAGTTTGTTTCAAATATAAATCGAAGGCGTCAGGCGTTCGAGACGTGAGACAAAGCAACAGCTCAATTTGCATAGTTAAGGTACTTACAGTATGCCTAAAATGATTTATGTTCTTTGCCACATGATTTATGGTTCAGCAATACAAAAGCCTGGCTAAAAATTAGATATAGATCTAAGTGAGGGTAGAATAAAAAAAAGATTGTCTAGAAATCTTGTGGCTTATATATATTTCTATACAATTGCTTCTCATATATGCTTCTCATCTGAATTCATGCAGCATGAGGATTAATTTAACATGATAATAAATTGCCTTGCAACTTTTCCGAGCTGAATCTGCTAACGTGGACGTCAAATATTGCAAAATATGTTTATTCTATTGAATACTTGATAATAATAACTGCAAATAAATAATAGAATGGGTATAGAGCTGGTTGTACAGGCTGTCCTGAGGATAAATTTATCATGAGGCAAACTATAATGGGAATAAAGCTTGTTGTACAAAATGTCATGAGGATAAAATTTAACATGAGCAAGAGTTATGTATTATGCAGATAGAAAAGACTAGACATTTTAAAAGCATATTTAGTTTATTTATTTAATTAATGCTATAAATCGCATAAATCCCGTTGTTTAGGCTGAGGATGAATTGAGCATGCAAGCATATTTAGCTAATTTTAAAGGCAAGCTATAATTGATACACAGTTTGTTGTACAGCCTGTCATGAGGATAAATTTACCATGATCCTGAGTTGAGATGTGTTTTTGCAGATTAAAATAACATTTACAGGGTCAGTTAACACGAAGATGGAAAAACTTATCAATCTCTACCACATGGTAAACTAGCGGATAAATTTCCATTTAAGATGGCAAGAAAAGCCTAAGGTGGCATATAAAATTAAGTTAAAATGCCCTAAATAAAACTTGTAGTTTGCCAGCTCGCAGTGTCTTTTCGATTATATCAATTCCAGTTAATAACCAGATCAATCTTCAATTCCAACGCCCACCTAGAGCATAGCTACTTAGTAAGCAGACTGCAGTTTTACCAGCTGTTGTGCCCCCAACCACAATTACCATTCCTTGATTTTGTTTTATTTTTTTTCATTGCAAACGAACATCAGTCGCAGTCAATGAGCCAAATTGAAGTAAATGGCAGCATTAAAGAGACGAAACTGCGTCGGGAAAAACGTATGAAAACGCAACTTTAAACTGTAATAAAGTGGGAAATTACAGCGCATAAATCTCTGTCGCCGAACTGTCAAGTGTGCTGTTGCGAGTCGCATCGAAACGAAAGTCGGGAGTCGGCGGGCTTGGAAAATTGATGCCAACCAACCAACACCCACACGCCGCGAGCACGGTGAATGAGTTGAGTTTACAGTTTGGCAGCTACTGTTGTTGCACATGCAAACGGGGCGACGTTTGCATATTAAACACAAGCGCAACGCAACTTGGGGCATGCAACAGCCAACAGCCAACAGCAGCAGCAGCAGCAGCAGCGCCACACAAGTGGACGCAGCTATGTTTTTGGAGTCCACAACTCGTATCGTATTATGTATTATTGTCTTGTTGTGCGTGTGTGTTTGTGTGTGTGTTCGTGTTGTTTGTTTTTATTATCGTGGTCGGACGCCTGCTCAGGCATTCAGATCGCGCCACACACACGACTCTTGACGACGCTTGGCGCTTCATTGTCCATATAAAACTAATAATTATTGCATTTAAAATCTAATAAATAAATGCATTGACATCGCGGAGTTTGTGGATTTTCAGCAACATGCGGCGAGGTGTGCAAGACGCCGCTAAATAGCCGCTCCTATTTTAATGGCGCTGTGCGCCAGGGTTGCATAACGCTTTTGTATGCAAAAAAAAAATTAAGTAAAATAAAATAAAAGCACGGATGAACGGATTTGAGAATTTTGTTGACGAACCATTCGATTTCAAATACTCGAATACTATTTTGATTGGCATTCCACTTTTCTACAGTTCACTCTTTTTATTCCTCTCAAATTTTACTAAGAACTAGTTCATTTAAGCACTTATTTCGTTCATTTAATTTCAACTTACAAGCAAATGTATTTTATTTAGAATTTATTTGCGAAGCCTTTTGATTTATTCAAGCATTTATTCACTGTCGATTGGACTAAAAACTCAAAAACTAATGCTAATGATAAACAACTAGTTCGATTTGGCATTTTGTAAAGCTCGTTAAATAAACTATTATGAGGATAAATTTACCATGAGCGTGAAGCATGGTAAATTTGAGTTTATGTCAAAAGTTGGACGCTGCGTCTTAGTTGATTTCGCTGAGGAAGAAGTAAGAATAATAAAACGTTCTTTAGCCTGCAAAGCTCACAAGAACTAGTTCTACAGCCCTGGCGCTTGTTGGGTCGGCAGAGAGGAGTTTAGAACGCACAATTCGTGTAATGATCATCATCAAAGTGCACAACTTGGACAATTCCTTGGCCCCTGTTGTTGTTGTTGTTGTTGTTGTGTTTAGTGACAACGTTTGCAGCCGCTTTTGACCATAATTGTTGTACTTGTCATTGGTTCTGTCGCGTTGCCAACTTCAATTTCAACGCCAAGCGCAAACGCACCGACAGCGCGCAGACATTGTTGTTGTTGTTGGTGTGGTTGTTGCTGCTGTTTATGTGTGTGTTAAATACATGTAATTAGCCATGTTTGTGCCATTTAATCCGTTCGGACTCCATGTCCTCTCTCCACTCTCTGGCGACGCTTTTCTAAGAATTCTTTACGTTCTGTTTTGGCGTACGCATTAGGCGCCACAAAGCGCGGCCACGTTTAACCCCCAAGCAGTAGTTGAAGCATTTGCCGAGTGCCTGTGCCTCGCCTCGACTGCAGTTGCGCATACTCCACATATTTATGGGCTATTTAGGCGAGCGCGCGCATCGTGTGGATGCTGCAAGCGGTGTGCGGGTGCATGGTGGCATGCAACAGGGGGAACTGGACGGGGCACAGTAAAAGCTGCCTTTAGCGAACAAAAACTGTTTGCAATTCTTCTCGTTGTTCGATTGAAGAAGATGTTTTCTTTTTAATACTAACAAACAAACATTTACAAACAGCAAAGCTCTTCTTATAATTTGTATCGAAAAGTAAGTAAAGAAGTT